AGGATGGTTGCAAGGATTAAGTGAATTAACACAGGTAAATTTTTAGAATAGTGCCTGCATATTAAAAGTACTAGGAATTTGCAATTATTAGATCGAACCTTATAAAATTGCCCCTGTGTGCTCAGATACCTCCTCTCCATCCAACTCAGCAGTGTCACCCAAGATGAACCCAGCATGGGTTACTTGTTAAGTTAGCAAGCAGTTAGTGAGATTCTTGGGGGTTTTTTTTGAGTTACAGTCTCACTCTGCTATCCAGGCCAGAGTGCAGTGGCACACTCACAGCCACCGCAGCCTTGACCTGCTGGGCTCAGGCGATCCTTCCGCCTCAGCCTTCCAAGTAGTGGAACCACCGGTGTGCACCACCACGCCCAGCTACTTTTTTTTATTTATTGTAGAGAGGAGGTCTCACTAAGTTGCCCAGGCTGTTCTTGAACCCCTGGGCTCAGGCATTTCTCTCGCCTCCGCCTGCCAAATTGCTAGGATTACAGGTGTGAATCACCATAGCTGGCAACACTTGGGGGTTTTTTGTGTGTTGTTTTTTTTTTTTTGAGTTGGAGTCTCACTCTGTCACCTAGGCTGGAGTGCAGTGGCACATTCGTGGCCACCCCAGTGTCGACCTGCTGGGCTCCGGCGGTCCTTTCGCCTCAGCCTTACAAGCAGCCGGAACTACAAGTGCTCACTACCACGCCCAGCTAATTTTTTATTTATTGTAGAGATGAGGTCTCACCAGATTGCCCAGGCTGGTCTCGAACCCACGGGTTCAGGCAATCCACTCTCCTCGTCCTCCCAAAGTGCTGGGATTACAGGCTGAGCCTCTGAGCCCGGCCAAAACTTGGGTTTTGAAAGCCCTGTCTTCACTGCTTTCAGGACTCAGGAGTACACTGCCTGTACTTAATAATGTTAATGATAATAGGCTCACTTTTTTGAGGGCTATATGTCAAGTGCATCATTCTAATTGCTTCACATGTATTCATGTGTTCAATCTCATAAGAGCCCTCGAAGGCAGGTATGATTATCCCCATTACAGATAAGAAAACTGAGGCACAGAGAGCCAAGTTACTTGCTTATGGTTGTATGCTAGAAAAGCGCAGAGTTGGGATCTGACCCCAGGTAGTCTGGCATCAAAGACCTTGGTTTCACCATTGTGCCATTCTGCACAGTCCCCAACTTTGGCAGGAAGGTGGCTGTTTCCCCTCTAAAGCCCATGCACTGGCTGCCCTTACATCTGGCTGTTCTTCCCTGCTCTTTGGGGGTGTTAGGTAGCTGATCTGCTAAAACTGCCGCAATCCCGCTTTTATTTCTGTTACCACTTAATCTGGTTTTTGTTTGAGTTGCTTACTGCAGCTTTTAACCCAAAACCTTCTCTCCTCAGCTGGCCTGTCTGGCCTTCTGCAACACCTGTATTCAGTAAGGAGCTTCCTTCACAGGGAGTCAACTGCAAGCATCCCTTCAGCAGCAGGAGCACGTGTCTACTTCTCTGCAAAGGTCACATCCAATGTTCACAATCTTACATGATGCCCTGTGCCACTGTTCCTCACACCTCTGCCACAGCTCTGTCTCCTAAACGGTACTGCCTGTCTAGCCGAACACAGCCAGGCACATCTTTTCTTTTATTATTCATCCAATTTTAGTGCTGTGGGTGTGGGAGGAACTTTGCCCATTCTCCCATTTACTTGCTTATTTTATTTTGTCTAAAAGAAACAGGGGAGACTCCCCCACCAGTAGGATTAACTGAGGTGTTCACACAGCAGCAAACAAAAAGCCCCAAAGTTGTTCTGTTGGCTATTCCCCAAGAACTCTGATCCATCAGATAATCAAATATGCTACTCAGTAAAGAATGTCTCTAGGATTAACACAGTCATCAAGTCATAGAGTATTGTCCTCTGCTCTGCCCATACTGGCAACGGCCGAAAGCCATTCCAGGAATCACCTCCACCTCCGGGAGTGGGTGCTAATCTGGGAAGCGCTTTCAGCCATATGACAAGGCTCTGTGCCCAGCTCATGATAACTAAATTAGACTTCATGCTCCTGATATCCTGCTCCACTTCAACTACATCATCAAAACTGATGGTGCTCCTGGGACACAGCCTCCAGCCCCTGTCCTTATTTATTCCAGGACACCACATATGCTGCTTGCTGGCAGAGTTAGATTTCTTCATCGGGGCCCTGCAGCCCCAGGACCACAGCATCTACTCACACAAGTCAGCTCATCTGCTCTCCTTTTTCTCCAAAGTTCTTGCTTGGGCAAGCTGGGTCCTGCCTTTTCATCTCTCTGCTTCCAGGCTCCTGTTCTTTGGCCATCTAATACCAATTACCGAGTGGGACTGCTCTGGGAGCACACGGAGATGCTACCACCTTTGAGAACACCTATGTTATTAGTTACAACTTAGAAAAACATTCAGCTTTTTCTGCCTTTTTCATTTCTTTCTTTCTGACTCTTTTTTTTTTTTTTTTTTAGCCGGAGTCTCACTCATTGCCCAGGCTGGAGTGCAGTGGCCTGATCACAGCTCACTATGGTCTTGACCTCCCAGGCTCAGGTGATACTTTAGCCTCAGCCTCCCGAGTAGTTGGGACCATAAGTATGTGCCACCACAACTGGATAATTTTTAAAAAAGATTTTTTTGGAGATGAGGTCTCACTATGTTGTCCAGGCTAATCTTAAGCTCCTAGGCTCAAGTGATCCTCCTGCCTCGGTCCCCTAGAATGCTGAGATTATAGGTGTGAGCCACCATACCTAGCCATCTCTGGCTTTCTTCTTTCCTTTAAAAATAATATATACCAAATAAAAATAAACAAAAGGCCAGGCATGGTGGCTCACGCCTGTAATCCCAGCACTTTTGGAGGCTAAGGAGGGAGGATTACTTGAGCCCAGGAGTTTGAGACCATAGTGAGAGCCTGTCGCTACAAAAAAATTAAAAATAAATTAGCTGGGTGTGGTGTTATGCACCTGTGGTCCCAGCTACTTGGGAGGCTGAGGCAGAAGGATCACCGGAGCCTAGAAGGTCGAGGCTGCGGTGAGCTGTGATTACTGCTGTCCAGTCAGGGATACAGAGTAAGACCCAACTCAATAAATAAATAAATAAACAAAAGACCCCCTCAGTTCAGAACTATACAACACAAAAACAAAAGCCCCCCACTACCCCTAGATAATGACCATGAATAACCTTGGGGCTATCCTCTTGGCAGAACCTGGCAATCACTCTCCTCAATCCTTATTCCCCACTCCCAAAGCAGCTCCTGGCCATCTACCACCTCACTCAGGTCCTTCTGGGGTTTCTTCACAGGGACTCTGAAGCATTGCCACCTAGGGCTTCCAGGACACTGTGCTCTCACTGGTCATCCTCTCCAGACTCCTTTGCTTCCTGACCCAGGGCCCCAGGTTCTCTTCTCTGTCCACACTTACTGCCTTTGGGATCTCACCCAGTGTCCAGGCTTTAAGTAGCATGTAGCCAAAGACTCCTTACATGTATAGGTCCAGTCCAGATTCCTCTCTTTCAAACTTCAGACTTCCAAGATTTATTTGCCTAGTGTCCATCTCCATTTGAGTATCGAATGGAACTTCAAATTCAACATGCCCCAACTGAACACCAATCTTCCCCCTTAAACCTTCCCCTCCATAAACTGTAAAGTGATCCAGACTCATCTCTTTCCAACATACTCTATATCCAATTCATCAGGAAATCTTGTTGGCTCTACTTACAAAACAGATCCAAAATCTGGCCACATCTCCACTACCACTGTCACTGCTGACACCCTGACTGTTGCTATCTAAGACCATCACCCTTATGTCTTATGACTACAATAGCATTCTGGTGGTCCCTCTGATTCCACCCTTGCCCACACCTACAGTCGACAGAGAAGTCAGCGTGATCCTATCTAAAAATAAGTCAGATCATGACACTCCTCTGCTCAAGACCCTGTTGTAGCTCCCCTTCCACGCACAGTAAGAGCCAAAGTCTTTACAGTGGCTACAAAGTCCTCTGTGATCTGGGTCCCTGCAACTTCTCTGACCTCCCCTCTTCCTACTCTTCCCCAGAATCACTCTGTTCTAGGCCACATTGGTCACTGTCATGATTCCTTAAATAGCCCAGGCGTGCTAAGGCCTTTGCACTGTCTGTTCCCTCTGCCCAGACACTCTTTCCCCAGATGTCCATGTGGCTTGCATCTTCACCTTCCTCAAGCCTTTGCTAAATATCACCTTCCCAGTGAGCCTTTCCTGACTACTTTATTTGAAGTTGCAACCTGTCACTTTTCCACCACCTAATAATCCCTTTACCCTGCTCTACTTATTAAAAATACATATTTCTTTTTTTTTTTTTTGAGTTGGAATCTCACTCTGTCACCCAGGCTGGAGTGCAGTGGCATGCTCATGGCCACCACAGCATTGACCTGCTGGGCTTAGTCCAAGTAGCTGGGACTGCAGGCATGCACCACCATGCCCAGCTAATTTTGATTTATTGTAGATAAGGTCTCACCAAGTTGCCCAGGCTGGTCTCAAACCCCAGTGCTCGGGCAATTCTCTCACCTCAGCCTCCCAAAGTGCTGGGATTATAGGTGTGAGCCACTGCGCCCGGCCTAAAAATATATATTTCTTATCATGTTTACCATTCTTTTAAATTTACCATGCTTTTGTTTATTGTATGTCTCCCCCAACTAGTATAAACTCTATGAGAACAGAGATCTCTGTTTCACTTCCTGACACATCCTATACCTTTGGCAGTGCCTTGCATATAGCAGGCATTCAGTAAATGCTTGACAATGAATGAACGAAAGATCTCTTAGGCCTGCAGTCTTCCTGGCACAAATACCCTTTTCATTCCAAAGAACTCTACCCCCAGTGACTTCCCACTAACTGGGAGGGGCAGTCTCTTCTGAGGACCTTTCTCCCTTCCTACTCCCAGCTAGTACCCGCTGAAACACTTTCTGTCTTCACAGCCCACTAAGGGGTTAACTACCATTTTATGTTCACTCCAGCCCTGGATGAGCTTCTGGTCACTCACCTGAAAATCCTCCTCATCCAAGATCTCCTTCCTCCACTTGATCAAGAAGGCTGCACATACGTAGAGATGAAAGTGGGAGAATCCTTCTGGTTCAGACTGATAAGTGAAAAAACAGTTAGGTCTCAAGCCCTGACAAGGATCCAGCTCTGGTCCTCTCAGTTCCAGTCCTTCTGGGAGGTGGGAAAGCAGCACAACACCCCTTTCACAGTAAGGCAAACAGAGGCCTGAAAAGATTTCACAAAGGTCCTGCCCATGAGGCGGAGACAGACACAGAAGTAGCAAGGAAGTAGAGGGAACTTCTGAGCAGCTACACTCCACACACCAGGCAGGGAGCTGGGCACCTCAGGGACAGCCTGGCTGGAGAGGGCAGGGGATCTCTTCCTACCTGGTATGTGTCCCACAGGCGGATGGTGCAGCGAAGAGGAAGTTCCCGCATAAGCAGGTTGTTCATCCAGCGAAAGGCAAACTGTAGGTATTCGACCTCGTACCTCCTGAAGTGATTATGTACCTGCTCTGAAACAGGAAGTGTCATTGACTCCAGGGGCACAACCTAGGGGAATGGACCCTGAAAGGTTCCCAGGAGCCAAAAAGGCAGTTTCCATCTCTTATTACCCGCTCCCCTGAGAAGGCAGACAGAGGCACAAAGAGGCCTCTGACTGTCTTCCATGTTTGATTCCATCATCTCATAGCAGAACGATTTTAACAACCCACAGTGATGTTCTAGGTGCTCCTCTTCCTTTGTGGGGCTGCTCTGGCCACAAAGCCGGAGACATAAGGTTCACTTGGTGCTTGATCTTATTAACAATCAGAGAAGAGCCAGAATGAAAAAGAATCTTGGAGGTCATTTTGGCCATCCTCTCACCAGTGAGGAATTCCTCTTCAGCATCCTTGACTGCCAGCCAGCAGGGCTATAAATATTGCCAGTGAAAGGGGTTCATGAACCCCACTCAAGGGCAGCCTTTCTCACTGATATATGAAGAGATTCACCCCCTCGTGTTTGTGTGGTATTCTGGGGCAAGCCCAAACACATTTGATTCCTGTTCTACAAGACAGCCCTTCAAATAATGCTTAATAGGATTGTTGTTTTCTTTTTCTTTTCCTTTTTTTTTTGAGTCAGGGTCTCACTATGTCTCCCAGGTTGGAGTACAGTGGCATAACCACAGCTCACTGCAGCCTTGGCCTCCTGGTCTCAGGTGATCCTTCCACCTCAGACTCCCAAGTAGCTGGGACTACAGGCACATGCCACCACACATGGCTAACTTTTTAAATTTTTTGTAGAGACAAGGTCTCACTATGCTGCCTAGGCTGGTCTCAAATTCCTAGGCTCAAGCTATCTGTTTGCCTCAGTCTCCCAAAGTGCTGGGATTACAGGCATGAGCCATAGCACCTGCCCAATAGAACTGTTTTCTAAATCACTGTCCTCAGTTTCCTAATCTATAAAATGAGAATAATCATACATACCTCAGATTGTTTTAGGGAAGATAAATGACGAAGTATTGGTAAAGTGCTTACAATGGCATCTGACATGTGGTAAATATTTAATATAATTCTTGAAAGAAGAACTATTAACAATGGTTCTTTCTGGGGAGTAGAATTTAAGAAAGGGAGAGAATTTCGGGGAAGGGGGAGGATATCTACTTTTTATTTTATGTTTTTCTGAATTGCTTAAGTTTTTGTAAAGAGGAAGTATTACCTCTACAATGCAAAGATATAATCAAGAGCTATACATTTAAAAATCCACTATCCTAAAGTACTATGCCTTTATTTATCAGGTATTTGTAAGAGCAGAAAAAAACAAGGATAGGGTAGACAGTGGCAGAAACCACCACTCCTCTGGAACAGACTGATGACCAGCCACTGGCAGCCAGTTCAGCCCCACAGAAGAGGGCAGTACACACCCTATACAAGGCTCTGGGTGAAGGATAAAAGACCTGCATGGAGCCCCACCACAGAGGCTAACAGCTGGGTGAGGGTGATAAGACAGAGGAAGAAACAGCCCACCTATGACATATATGAAGCAACTGCAAATAAACACAAGCTTCGGGGGCTGAAATTCTAAGTCATAAAAGGAATGAGTGGAACAAACCAAGAAAGGTTTTCAAGAAAAGAGAACCTGGCAAAGAAGAGAGAGATACACAATTGGAGGGACAGGGAGCTGGAGAAAGGCATTGGTGGGCGACACAGAAAACCTGTGAGTAGGGAAACCAGGAAATGACATTTATTAGTTGGTGTGGTGACAGGTAGAATCCTAAGGGAGCCACTACAACTTAGCTGGTGTTAGAGAGCCCATTTATCAGAAGGTCTCACTGATTTCTCCCCCTGGGCCTCAGTTTCTTCATCAGTCAACAGTAGAGCTTCCTGAGTTGCCTTGTCGTTCTAACACACCATGATTCCAGGTCACAGTCAAGGAATTCCTGTAAGGCTCCTGTTCCTCAAAGACATCTGCTTCAGGAAGAGCCACATCTCAATTCCCACAGCCCAAACGAGTCACAAGGAGCTGCAGAAAGTCCTACTGGGGCATCAGCTGGACTTGAGGACCTTGCATCAAACCCAGGAGTTCTGAGTTACATCACCACATGTCAGACAGGGTCAGAATACAGACCTGATGCTAAAGTCAATGGAGAACCATAGAAGGTTTTAGAGCAGAAGAGGGATTGTGACCAGAATGGTGTTTTAGAAAGATGCAGTTGTGTGATGGTTTGGAAAAGGAAAGAATGTGACGAAGACAAGTCCTTCTAGAAGGAAGCTGTAGGAATCTAGGAATGGCTGGGCCAGAGCTGTGGCTTGGGAAATGGAGAAGGAGAGAACTGAGGATAGATGCTGAAGGAGAATGGACAGAGCTCGGTGATAGGAAACTAAGGGGCAGGAAGAACTTGAGACAGCAGCAGAGTCCCCGCCTCACCTTCCTGGGACATGTGGAAGGATGCTGGTGCTGCCAGCACAAGCGTGTGGGAAGGGGTCCTGGCTAGGGAGGAAGAGAAGGAGGTGACCCACAAGTATAACTGGCTTGTGTTAGAATCAGACTGTGCTGCTGCTAGAGATTCTTCTTCCTCTGACCTACCATCAATCCGGCTGACAAGCTCTTCCAGTGCCTTGACCTTCTTCTGGATCCCTGGTTGTGCAAAGGTGTAGTTATCCTACAAATGACAGAGGGCCCAGGATGAACAGCGACTCCAAACAGTCATGTTGTTGCTTCTCAAGTTCACTGAAACAAGTCTGAAAGCACAAGCTGTTTTCCAAACTAGGGCCAAGGGCCGGTGCCAGTGTTCTGGGGAATAAAGGAAACTACAGAAGAGCAGGGTGGGGAAAAGGCTGACCAAGCCCTGCACTGTGCAAACCCACATGGCTTGGGTGCAGAGCAGAAAGAAGGGGCTGCTCTGATGACAAAGCCAGGGGAGCATGGAGACTTCTTCAGACCCCAGGAGACACTAGACTGAAAGCTGTAAAGCTAATGAAGACCTAGAGACAGACCCAAAGGAGGAGGAGCCATGGCAGGTTGGTGGTGGGTGGCCCTGTCTGGTGCAAAGGAGCAGTAAGGCTCCAACAGCCTGCTGGGTGTCCCTGGACCTAGCTATTCCTGCAGAGCAGAGTAGCTCACCTGGATCCCATCCAGCAGCTTGCTCATGCACCAAAAGCTGTCGGCCTCAATGCTTCGCAGCATGTCCTGAGACAAGTTGGTCACGTCAAAGTTTTCCACATCCTCTTCTGTAAAACAAAAGGTGAAGAAAGTCCAGAGGTCTTATCTAAAAATGGAGAGAAAAAGAGAGTCTAGCGTCTTCAACAGAGTCCTTAAAGCCAAGTGAGAACCAGGCTCAGGGAACAAGGGCCTGGCCCTCTATTCCCCTTTTCAGGTAGACAAATGTGTCCCCAGGAAGTTCTTGTGGATTTCATTATAGCACCATACAGGCCACTTCTCACACCAGTCCTGCTGGGTTCAACATATCTTCTCTTCCCAGGTATCTGTTTATCCGGTTTTAGAAAAAGATACTTCAGGTTTTATGTTCCATGAGTTATACTCAGATTCCTGGAACAGGCCTGGAAGAATACTTTGATTTCAGTTCAATGAGCTATCCAGTACATTCACACATATATGAAGTCTGTACAGCTGGGATGAGACAGCCCCCATAGTTCATATTAAAGATGAAATCCCCAAATTCTGATAAGGCAAATGTATGGTCTTCACACTCAGAAGTGAAGGTATGTGTGTGAAGGAAGATGAATCAAGCCTATGAGTACTTCTAGAACTTAATTCCACCAACGTGGTATTTCCTAAGAAGGGAAATACCTGCAAACATCTGCAAAGCATCAATCCTATAGGACACTCAAGAAAAAAGGGGTTCCAAAGACAAATAAATGTACCATATACCCACATCTTAGAGATTCACAAAGATCACAGCATACAAAAGGATTTGAGAAGCTTAATTTCTCTGTTAAGGATTGGTACGGTGGCTCACACCTGTAATTCCAGCACTTTGGGAGGCCGAAGTGAGAGGACCGTCTGAGCCCAGGGGTTCAAGACGAGCGTAGGCAACTTGGTGAGACCTCATCTATACAATAAATTTTTTAAAACATTAGCCAGGCATGGTGGTATGCACCTGTGGTTCCAGCTATTTGGAAGGCTGAGGCAGAAGGATCACCTAAGCCCAGGTCAAGACTGGGCTTGATCATGTGACTGTACTCCAGCCTAGGAAACAGAGTAAGACTTTGATTCAAAACAAAACAAAAATTTCTATGATAAGTAAATCTGCCTGTGTTTATCAAGCATTCCCTAAGATTATTTATCCCGAGGCCTCTTTGAAAGAGGGCTATCCTTTAGTTTCTCTTGGAATCCCCACACTAAGTAACAGTTGTGAGAAGTTGTCTGGTCTGAGATGCAAGCAAGGAGAACGTAAGAAGTCCTCAAGAAACCTGAAGAAGGAAAAGGCCATGTGATGTATCCTTCACAGCACTTGTTTAAATCTCCTTTCCTGCTAGAGAGAAGTGAAGTAGTAAGGCGGGGGGGGGGCCTTGCCCAATGAGACAGGCCAGTGTATGTCGGTCAGAGGCCACACACAGAATAATCAGGCCCTTGAGTTCTGCACCAAAGACAGCCTTTTTCCTTAGATCCACAAGCCCTATTTTGAAAACAGGATGTTCATTACAACCTCTTGCGCCACAGAGAGACACAGGCATCTGACAAAATATATTCAGAATTCAGCCTTTTCATTTATAAGAATTATTACTAAGACCTGTATCTGAAACTCCTCGTGATAACATGTAAACCCTCAGATTCTCATTCTTTTTAAAGAACCATTTATCAAATGGGCATCAAAGGCAGTAAAATAACAACAACAACAACAACAATCCTTATGGGGAGGGTGAGGAGATTTGTCAGAAAAACTATAGCCCTGGAATGACCTAAAAATACAACTTGATGGACAGCTACAGTTAATATATATCAAGTGCAGGCACTGTATATAACATGTATACACACACACACACACACACACACACACACGCACTGCCTGGCACAGTAGGCACAATATAGTTATCTTAGAAGTTCGTTAGGAATTGTAATGACACAGAAAAGCATGTCACAGTGTTAAGGTGAAAAGAGTAAGGCACAACATAATTTATGGCATACTTTCACCTACTGTACAGACAATATTTATGTATGTTTATAGAAACATGGAGGAAAGACAAAACATCACAAGGTTTACAGTGTTTATTCCCCAGGTGGTAAGAATACAGGATTTTATTTTCGTTGAGTTTTATTGGGCTTTTCAAAATTTCTACAATAAGCATAATTTTTATAGTCAGGGGAAAAAAATCCCCATTATTTTAGGAAAAGAGCCACAATTGACTACACCTGCCTTTTATCACCAGAAAAGAATAGGGAAGATTTTGCAAAACAGCTCTAAGCTTGCAGAAACTAAAAATTTATATAACATATAAAGGTCCATTTGAGAAATCACATTTAAAAAAATATCCTTCCAGGAAATACCATTTTCCTTTTTGCCTAACTTAAACATTTATTCTGTAGTGTTTTTTTTTTTTTTTT